GTTGTATTGGCGATGAAAATTATATGGAAAATGAGGTTTTTCAGCTTTTTCAAAGAAATAATCCAAGTCAAGTTTAAAGCCAATTTGGGATTTCTTCAGCTAAAAATCTAGTTTTCGATTGATACTACTGATTTTTAACGAAAAATTGAACTAGATTTTCAAATAGTCGAATTTACGCCCCCATGAAATTGTGAAAATGGAAAAGGGATCATCAACCGATAGCGCTGTTTCATGAATATTTACAATCAATTAATGCTTTGAGCGACTCGGTTTGTTAAGGAGGACTTTCAATTTGTGAAGCAGCGCTTCATTATACACTTAAAAGTTTTGCATGTATTTATCTATAATTTCTTATCTTAATGGGTGATCAAAAGACAAGCTTTGTGCGTATCTTAAATGTTTTATCACAAATTCCACTCACGGCCAAATTTAATACGTACTGAACCTTATGAGTCCAAATTGGCTGAAATACAGTCCGATATTCAGTGTCTTAATCTTTATGAAAAAACATAGTTTAGTGGCCAAAAACAACTATCATGAGTTAAACGTTTAAAGAAACCAGTTGAAGACCAGCTAATTATTTATCCTGCTCCAGCTCTATAGCCTCTATACGTTCTACCATTGGCCAATGGAAATTTTAATCTATGAAATATCATGGAATAACAATCCTTCGAAGCGTTAAACAATAAACGGTGTAAATGTTTGGAACATCCGTCGCTCATTATCTTTATCGAGCATCTAAACTGAAAGTGTATAGCAAAATTTTCAATTAATTCATACGAAAAGTTATGATGATTACGATGTTATTAAATGCACGAATAATACTTACAGACAAATCCAGTTGAAGCATGTAGGGATCAGAAGCCGATCTTGACACGATAATAAGCTGGAAAAGCAAAAGTTTGCAATTCCGACTGGAAAGTTGAAGGTTAGAATATGAAAACTGAAAATCGGGAAATAATAACACGGTTTTCACTGTGCCAGGATTTGCATGCGCCTGCCTGGAAAACGTCGGTCTACTGGATTCGGCTGGATAAGTTCGCATGGCCGCATATTGCCGATGTGATAATATCGCTTATCTAAAATTGATAAAAACATAATAAAAGCGGAGTTTTACGCATCTTTGGGAAATTCGGAAAATTCGATTAAAAACCTTGAGTCGATTACTGGCAGTTTTCGAGTAGCAAAACTGGATATCGACGATTTATTGAGGAATTAACTATTTATTGAAATAATAAGTCAGGTAGAGGGTTTACATGAACCGCCCACATTAACGCGAATATTTCCTTCGGATGATAATCTGTCCGTTTGAAGTGTGTAATTATCACTCAACGATAATTGCATTGTTTACGAAAAATATTTGACAGCTGTCTTTTCATGATTAATTAGACATCAAATGTCTTCTTGACATACCTAAGATATTCAAATTATATTTAATAGACATAAGAAATAAAATTAAAAGTGTTATAAAATATAATAGAAATAAAATGAATCCACATTAACTTTGTTTATTCAGGAAATATTCATCGAAATTACACTCGTGCATCAAAATAAACAGATAATTTTGCATTCGAGCTTGTTGTCTTGTAAAAACTGCATTCGTTTAT